CATCCCCTGCCGCTGAGGCATCTTCCCTCTTGTGTGGATGCCTCTAAATATGTGCGATCCAGGACTCGGCTGCCCGCCTCCTGCTGGTCCCCACTTGCTGAGAGGTCCAGGGGGAAATTTTGATAACGACCGGGCAATGCCTCTTCCCGGATTTGACAATAAATAAGGATGTCCCAAAGATAGACCCTTGACCTGATTCCCATCCAGATTCTCTGGGCCATCTACGTGGTAGCGGCTTCTAATATACATCGGCATAGATAAATCAACATTTAATGAATTGGCCTTTTCAAATATTAAAAAAAAAAGGTGGAAAGAAGGAAAAGCTTCTCACTTGACCATGTCAGGGTAGAACTGCTTGTCCCAGCCGCTGTAGAGGGAGTTGCTCACATAAAGTCTCTTGCCGTCTAAGCTCAACTGGATCATCTGGGGTCCCCCCTGGACCCTTTTCTCCTGCCGAAGGAAGAGAAGCCAGAGATGAAGGACACGCAGCTGCCACAGAGGGAGGCGCATCAACGGATACTGTGAAGTTACTTTGCTACACTGCCTGCCTGTGGACTGTGGAACTCACCGCCACAGGATGGAAGCCTGGCTGCCAGCTGAGACAGTTTCCAGGAGGACTGGAAGAATTCATGGCAGTTTGAGGCCAGAGGATTAAATGCATGCGCAGGTGCAAGTGTGGGTGAATAAGGAAGGCTGTTACAGTTGAACCCTGTGCAATCTGTCTCTCTTTTACAGATCTAGAACTTGGAATTACCCAAGAAAACTGGAAGATGGAAAAAGAAATAAGAGCCACTTCTCTTCACCCAGTTCATCAAGGAGCATCTGGAACTCCTCTCTACCAGATGTAGCGATGGCCACAAGTGCTACAGGAATCTTACCTGATGAATTTTACTCATAGGTAAGCCTGGATAACTGGGTAGTCGAAGACCTGCCCGTGTATTTAAAAAGCAGGGCAAACCAAGGCTCCATGTAACTGCTTTGCATTCATTTGGATGTGGCACATAGTTTTTCCGTAATGGGACGAGGAGGCTGCAGAGAACAAAAACTTAAGGGAGTGTGACGTAGTAATGGCTGGAGGACTGGACAACCCATCGGGAGGCCTGGGTTCTAATCTCTGCCCAGATGCAAACTCTGCTGGTTCTTTTGGGCCAAACAGCATCTCAGAAAGTTGGGGGCGGGTGGAAGAGCCAGGCACAGGGTTTTGAGATGTATGAAAGGAAAAGAATAATATCAGTGTAATAATTAACTGATAAGAAGCGAATACAGCCATCAGGCCATACCTTGATGATGCACGGATCGGGCTGGCAGTCCAGTTCTTGGTCCTCGACCACTGTGACAGGCCCTCCTTTCACGATGCTGCCACCTAAAAACACCTGCGAGGAAATAAATACTAGGTTAGGAGGCACCGAGGTGGTGGCGTCCAAGCTGGCCGCTTTCCCCGACAGATCTAACAGGGAGACCAATTGGGGGGCCTGCCACAAACTAGTTAGGTGGTGTGTTGTTGTTGTTGTTGGGTTTCCAGGGCTGCTTGAGAGGAGGAGATGCTTGGCCTAAGAGGAACAAGGCTACTCGTCAACAGGATTCAGGTTAGGCTCAAAACCATCTCTGGACCAGGAGTCGTGGTGACTGCCCAGTCCCATATAAACCCCCTTGCACGTAATGGTCGGTGTTAAGAGTCTCTAGGTGGTAGCCAGATCAGGAGAAGGGTGTTCTCCATGTCTCAACATCATGCGCTGTTGAGACATGTCTCCTTTAGATTAAAATACTGATGTGTTAAATAACAAGAGCTGAGTTCATTATGTAACCCAGAAAACAAATGGTTAGATGAAACAAATACACTTTAAAAAAGAAAGAAAGAAGAGAAAAATGTGTGGTGACTTGGAATTAAGGGCAACACTAGCAGTTAAGAAGCATTTCATTCAGCTCCACAAGTTGAAATGATGGTCCCCTGACCTACTAAGGACCCCCACGCCTTTTCTTTTTCAACCACATGACCGTTTTCCATTTTACATCTTGGTATTTCACTTGCTGGTTCCGAGCTGATCAAAATGACAACCCAACCACTGACATTCATTTAAACAATGTTATTGGTCCTGGTAAGACAACAGAAGCCTGGCTTTTACCTGTCCCACCAATTTGGGCTCCCGGGTATTAGAGATGTCATACTGGCGGATGTCTCCATGAAGCCAATTGCTAAAATACAGGAATCGGTCGTCCAGGGAGATCAAGATGTCTGTGATGAGACCTTAAAAAGAACATAAAGAAATAAAGAAAAAACCTTACCTATGGAATTGTGGCATTGAACGGTTGGCCTCAGTCTTTTGTTTTGTAACTGGTCACCAAGAGCTTTGTTTGCATGCCTGATCACTCAGGCAAGTAGCTCTGAAAGTTTTGCGTACCTGGAGGGATGCATCAGTTTGGAAGCCCTGATGTGCAGAAAAGCAATGGGCAAATACTTTTTGTGATAAGTAATAGTTATGCTTAAATATTTGAACAAACCTGGCATATCAGGAAGAAGCCAGCCTTTCACTTTCTTGCTGGGGACTTGAACCACCTTCTCTGCTGCCCAAGTCCCATCCTGCAAGAAGAGCAGCCGTACAAGAGAGATCAGTTACGTCACAACTCTAAGCATTGTCCTTAACTCAGGCTCGTTTCATCACTCAGCAGGGCTCATCCACATGGTATAGTCCCATCTCACAATCTTCCCTTTACTTCTGCGGCCAGATTATAGGGACGAAGTCCCACCATCTGAGGCTTCTGCCAGGCCTATCCTAGCCTACATCAAAGGTTGTGGCCTTGGCCCTTTCCCCTTGGGAGGATGTGACTGCTTGTATTTGGCCAGAGGGGAAGGATCTGTGTTGATGACCCCCTCCTTACTCGAAGGAGCACCGAGGAGCATCGATTGACAATCCATGTTGTGCAAGAGGCAACTTCTCCATGCATGCTTTTTCAAAAAGGTCAGCCTGTCTCAGGACATCTAGTAAAAAACCAATTAAAAGTGGAAGAGAAAATACAGGGACACCTAACAGATTTACTCCAGTGCAAGCTTTGGTGCATCAGTTTCCTGGAACTTGCAGAAATCCTGCTGTCCCAGCTCCTTAACTCGAGATGTCAAGGACAGAATGTCAGTCCTCCTGGCCCTGAGCAAGGTCCTCGTTGATCATAGCCCCGCCGTTACCTTAGCCTTGTACAACCGATGGATGGTGCTGGTGAGGGCACAGCCGATGAAACCCTCAGCGGCGTCCGGGTTGTGGAGGAACCGGATCTCCAAGGGGATGGAGTTTTTCTCCACATCGATCGTCTGGATGAGCTCATGGGTGGTCCAGTCCCACACGTTAATGTTCCCACCATAGCAACCTTCAGAGGTAAGAGGTGGGTAGAAAAACAAGGAGAAAGAGCAGAAAAGGTGGGCCGAGTTCTAGATCTGTGCTCTGTCCCGCTACCTACCCCACGGATCCCCTACCCCACAACGTGACAGACCACTTCCTTCTTCTGAATGCTGCTTTGGATGGTGACCTGAACCCTGCCCAGTTTTGACCTCTCTCTGTCTGCCCTTCCGAAGCATTATAACTCTCTGTTCCGGGCCACATCTCTATAATTTTGGATTCCGAACGTGAAAACGTTGAGAGGAGACAGCCCTTTGAGTAGCAATCCACGTGGGACCCTTTGCTTCACCGTATGGAAAACCAGTCAGGGCTTCTCCTGAACCGGAGCCCTGGGTGTCTGCCCGTAAAGTCTTGCCCCACTCCAGCACAGGGGGTCTTCTCACCTTTTTCCAAATCGGCCGGGTTGAACCCCTCTACCAGGCACTTCGGCACCCCCCACTCTGTGCTCATCAGAACGTTGTGCCTCGGCTGGTACCAGAAATCGTAGCCCAGCGGGGGGACCTTGCTGCCTTTCTCCCAGTTCCCTTTCACCTCAAAGGTCTCTCCGTCCAACAGGATGAAGCCACCTGGTCACACGAAAAGAGGAGAGAAAGAGAGAAAGAAAGAAAGAAAAGAGAGAAATACGAATCATTGTTGCTCATAGTTCTTGCTTTGAAAACTACAAGGTATCTTTGGATACCTCCACCAAAGTCCTGCCAGCATTTAAGTTTTCCTGTGTGTATAAACACAAATTTTTTTCTTTTTTTCTTTTTAAATGCCATGATGTGGGTTATGCCCATTGGAATCTGAGTTGCTGCACCACTCAGCCAACTAGCAGGTTTCCAGAGCTTCGGGACTCTCCGTTCTGGATTTAGTTATACAAAGGAGGTTAAACCTGTATGCACAACCCACTGGTTGAGTGTCGTTACTCTCTGCCATTTCTTCAGAAGGTTGCCTGGGATCCTTCACTTCAAAATGAGAGAACTAAAACCAAAACCAAATATTTGCTCCACCTGGTTCAGTGCTGCCACCTGGAGGATAGCGGTGGCTCCTGCTTTGCAGGCCAAGTCAACCTGCTCCTGTTTGTAGTCCCGTTGTTTTTCAGGGAGTAACTTCCCTCAAAAAATCTCCAGACTCAAAATCTCCAGAACTCTTGAAAGTTTGGCAAAAATCCCACAGCGGACCCCCTCGAAATTAGAAACACCACGCTCCACTGGTAGGGTGATCAGAAATGGCCCTGCAGGGTTTTGGATGTGGGGGGGGGCACCTCTCCTAGCCCTTACTGAAGATGACGGTGGTCAAAGGTGGAGCCCTGTGGCATGCAGAGGAGGTGGTGTGCCAGGACACAAGAGCCACCTACGTACCTTTCCCGTTGCCAGAAGGGTCTCCCATGGTACTGATCATGATCTCTCCGCTGCCCAGGCAGTGTGTGGTGTGAGGATTTGCCAGGTTGCATTTCCAGTACACGTCGATGGGCTCAATCGCCTTGGAAAAGAGGGGGGGGGGGACAGAGAAGGTGAGTCTAGAAGCGAGAGGATCCTTCTGTGCCACCCAGCCGACTCTTGAATTTCTCAAGTACCCAAGAAGGGTTCCTGTTTTTCACTGTGAAACATCTGGCGAGTGTGGTTTTGAGAATGGCGAATACCTCGGAAAGAAGCTTGGCGAAAAGGGAATAAAAAACAAACTGTAGAGAGAAGTACTGTATGTGGTGCAAGGGAGACACAGAAGCGTCAGGGTGGCTTTTAATGCCTGTTGAGTAAGAATTAACGGTCAGGCCAAGACGTTCCCGTGCTCGCTCTTGGATCCCCGCCAGCCCTCCCGCACCCGCCGGGCCTTGTCAGGGGAGTGAGAGGTGGAGCCTAAGATTTCTGGGATGGCCTGGGAAGCAGGAGGGGAGCGCTGGTTACCTTATAGAGCCTGGGCGCGCGGGGATCTGTCCCCGTATCGACGATGTAAATCCGGGAAGAGATGAGGCTCGGAAGGATGAGCCGGTTCCGCTTCTTGGTCGTGTCCCCGAAGCAGCTGCTGCAGGCGTTCCACCCGGTGTGGTGGAGCTCGTCGTTGACGTTGGGCATCGGCAAGCGGTGGATGACCTGGGGAGCAGCGGAGGGACGGTTGGCCCGGCCCGGCCCTGTACGCCAGAGCACCCCCACCCCACACTTTCCTCCAGTGAAGGTGTGGAGCAGCCCATCCTCTGTTGCCTGAGATTGTCAGCAGAGCTGCTTCAGGACCAGACCCTTGGGAAACATCACACTTAGCAAGGTTCTTGCCTCCGATGATACCCCATCTCTCTGAGCATGATTACCACGGAGTAAACCATGCTAGGCACAAGGGGATTCTCTCTGAGCAAGCTAACAGATATACACTATCGGTTTACTTATTTTACTCAGTGTTTGTCCCATATTTCTCCTAAGAACAGGGCTCAAGGTATCTTGCAATTATACTGTGAAAGTTTTGTTCACCCAGAGCATGAATGAAAGAAACTTCAAGTGTGGCACTCTATCTGTCTATCTTATCTATCTATCTGTCTGTCCATAGAAAGAAACTTCAAGTGTGGCAGTCTATCTTATCTATCTTATCTATCTTATCTATCTATCTGTCTGTCCATCCGTCCGTCCACCCATCCACCTACAGTTCAGCAAAGTCAATTGTCCAAAAAGGTCTTTGACTGCTGGCAGAAAAATAAGAGGGAAGACGACACCCTCCCCTCCTGTTTCAGGGAGTTCCAAAGGTGATGGAAGACCCCTCGGTGGAGAGGGGGCAGATTCTCCAGGAGTCGTCAGGAAATCACTTTGATCGGTCATCTTCCTGAAGTGGATTCTTTGGATCGTCCCAGCTACCCTTGTAGAGATCCCAAGCACCAGAAGCACAAAAACCGTACCAACTAATGACCTGTTCACTACACTAATGCTTTCTCTCTGCTCCAACTGGTTGTATTTGTTAGTCCTTGTCATCTAAAATATGCAGAAGCATTCTGTTGAACTCAGAAGCTTGCCCTCACACGTCTCAGCTGACCTTCAGAAGGGCCTTGCACTCTTCTTTTTCATAGGCGAATGCGGTAATTATTTACATTTCAAATCCTTCTAAACCCTCTTTCTCAAGCTTTGGGAAGCTATCTAGCCGAACCAGATCATCTGCTTCCAAATCTTATGCTTAGTTTTCAAAACCGAACAAAAGATTTAGCAACTTGAACTGCCCAAGTGTTTTACAGAGTTTCCCCTCTGCAACATGTTCTCATTCTTCGGCTGTCAGTCATGCCATTAGACCAAATAACAACTGGCGACAGCTTGAACCAGCTGGTTTGTGATTTCTACATGCAGAGGAGGAGCCCACAGACTTGGAAGCAACTGTTTGCTGATCGGATCCTTGATAGCTCCCCATCTCTGGGTGTAAGAAGCTGAACATTTGAGCTGATCCGGAATGCAGTGGCAGCTAGTTTATGAAGGCCATTTGGATGCTGCTCTGCCACAGACTCAGAATAGATCCAGCTTCCCTCATCCTCTTTGCTCGCTTAGCATGGGCTGAAGGCCAGGGCCCTGGCCCGTGCTCCCGTCCTGTGGAACTCTCAGCCTCATCATGTTCTGTGTGGGGTATGTGCGAATCAGCAGCAGGTAGCAAAGGGCTGCCCACCTTCGCCCCATCAAATGCAAAAGACAGCAGCTGTCAGGGCTGTAAACTTTCGAGGAGCACAGGGTTGCTGATCAGTCTGGAAATACACTCCAACCCCGAACTTAAAGCTTGGGAAAAGCCTGCGGGTTTTTTCCTCTGCATTTACGGATTAATGTATGGATGCAAAGGTAGAGCGGTTGAAAACATGGGAATGCTACGTTCAGGTCTGTGACTCTAGGTAGCCTTTGTCGAGGTGGCCTGAGGTGGGCTATTTGCTCTGGTCTCACCCTCTTGTGTCTCCGGTCAGGCCTTCATCATCCTGCTCTATCTTGTAGGGTTCATGGACGTTTTGTTGAGATAAAACGTAGGAAACTTTTGAAAACCCTGAATGCACTGCCTAATTCCTTCTTCTTTCTGACAGTGACACCTTCTCATGTCGTTAAATACCTTTGAGGGGGAGGCACCAGGTCATTCCGGGACCTGCTCTGTGTAGATCCGCTGCTGAGCCAGGTGACCCTAAAGGGATGCTAGACTCCTGGGGGGTGAGTAGAATGGATCCTACCGCTTCAAAGAGCGGGAAGCTGAATTTCAATTTTGAAAGCTGCCTTAGATAGATAGATAGATAGATAGATAGATAGATAGATAGATAGATAGATAGATAGATATAGATATAGATATAGATATAGATATAGATATAGATATAGATATAGATATAGATAGATACACTTTTAAAAAAATTAGAAAGATAGCATAAAAGGGAGCTCACCCTTCTGACAGGCTGTATTTCTGTGGGGAGATAATTGCACAGTTGACCCCTTGGGGAAAAAATGGGACCCTTGACCCCTGTGACCTAAAGCTCATTCACAGCAAGGGTTTGTAAATAAAATCTGAGGATCAGACGTGGTTGCCTTCCCCTTTCGTACTGAACAGAAGCCCTTGCAAATAGGCAGAGCGGGCCTCCTGGAGCTATTGATGGCGCAGAGGGAGGGAATCAAACAAAAAGCCTTTTTTTAGCCCTCAGACACTGAACAATGGATACCTGGCAGTAGGTTTTGGACTTTGGATCCACATCCACCGTTGCCAGGTAGTCCGGTTTCTTTATCCCAGTATTCCTGTAGATGCAGGGCAGGTAGACAATCTCTTCCCGGGGCCCTTTGTGGAAATAATTTAGTTTTTAAAAGCATATCAGACCTCCAGCAAAACACACGGGCTCTGAAAAGGAGACCGATTGGCCATCGGAAATAGCTGTGCTTCCAAACTTGGGGGTCCCCCAAACCAGTTAGCCAGAAAAACAAAACAAACAAAAACAAAAAGGGTCTGGATTTTATGACCCAGAAGGGCTTCTCTTACCTTTCATTGCCTCCAGCGGAGATTTGTATCCGGGGCCACAACCCCCACATTCGGCTGTGAATAAAAATGGCCGGGAGAGAAGTTAAAAAGAGGTTAAGATCTGAAAAATGTGAGTTCACATTCCTCTCTTTAAAAAAGAAGTAAATATTACTGATAATGGAAGTGTTTCCGAGGCTGAGGTGGAATTTGGGCCTGGAATACATCTTTCAGTTTTACAGATCGGTTGTTCATGCTAACCCTACCCTTTCTTTGCTTTTTTTAAAAAAATGTTTATGGTGTTATAAAGGCTAGCCAGGCAGCAGCTGCTCTTGTCACGCTAGCCGGTGGACCCAGTTGCACACTTCGTTTTATATCTCTGCAAATAAAAAGGACAAGAGGAGGGGGGTAATTCAGCCCCCCCCCCGAAGCTGTAAAGAGAGGGCTGCCTATTTGTTTCTAACAAGAAGGCCAGCTTTTGGAAAAGTCCCCGTGAAAACATGGCCAGCGAGAAAGGAGACCTCTGCAGAAGTTGCCGATCACCCGTGGCCTTGAGCCCTGACTTTTTCTCCTAGTTTTCTTCACTCAGTTCACCCCTGTGGATCTCTCATGTTTTTTTATGATCCCTTGAAATGGGTCCTCCCTCATGTGTCTGCTTTATCTCTCCATCTCGCTGCATTTATCCACAATGGTGAAAAATAAATGGGCAAGGGGTGGGGTTTGAGACACGTTGAGGGTCCAGGTGGTGGTGGTGGTGAGCTGGGTGTAGTCCGTAGCAGCCTTATTTCATTTAACAAGTAAGGCATTAACCAACACTTTTTAAAAGAAGGGAATGAAATGGCTTTATAGTAGCAATAAAGGCAAAGGCTTATTTCCCAATTAAAGCTGGGTCAGAAGCTAGCTTTAAAGCTAAGTTCAAACATTTGGAACTGTTAATAAGAAAAGAGTGAGACAGACAGAGGCAGCACGCTCGTTTCTGGTTAATTTGATTCCGTTAGTTTTAGTTAAGTTTCTCTCTCTAGTTATTCTGAATGTATTTCTCTTCTCTGAGGTGTTGAGTTCAGTAATAATGCTCTCTCTGCCTGGCTTCAAGCTTGCAAAGTAAGACTCAGCACAAAAGGAAAGAGGACTCAGGAGGGAGAAGGAAAAAAGCAAGTTTGGGCGTTTGTTCCTAACTTCTAAGGTCTTGTAAGGGTTCTTTAGGGCAGGGAAGAGGGAAGTAGATTTTCTATAGGCGTATCTTTTGGGGCCCATCAGTGGGACCAAGGACCAAGCTAGTCTTCCCATATTGTGATGTTCTCTTTGGGGGAGAGGAGGAGCAGGCTCCCGGGGTCCCTCGATTCTCTGACCAGAGGCAGGGCGAGGTGCTGCTCCCTTTCAGCTCTTCTGGGACAAATCATGGGAGAGTGGGGTGCCTTCACTTCAGCATTTCTGAAACCAAGGATGCACGGCTGACATCACTTTCCAGCATCGTGCCTTTATCTGATTCCCTTATGTCTTCTTCCGTATCGATTAAGATCAAGCCAGGGTCATCCCCTTTGATCCCTCCTAAGGCATGTAAGGGTGTCAGGAATTTGTTGGCGATACTGAGCTCAGCAGAGGCGACCTCCCAGCAGATAGCAGGGCAGCTGAAATCCACCCCGCCCTCCTGATTTTAGGATTAAAATCCTAAAAAGTCTGCAATTCCTTTGAGGAATGCTTTATGACTGACATGGTGTTTGAGGTCCTGACAGGGGTAACCTAACCTTTCCTCAAATGATGCCCGGTCCCTGTCTTTTGATTCCTTGGTTATTACTTCCTTGATCCCTTTTAAGCCCACGGCAATCCATCAGATGGCTTTGATTGACAAGCAGTCTCCACCTCAAGATCCAGCCGTGGGTTTTTAACGACTGACCAGGATTCAAACCTGGTCTGCCACCGTCTGTGACCACTGTCCCACACTGTCTTCCTATCAGGCCTTTGGCAAACGCAATGTTTTCCTTACAGTCCTTTCACTTTCTTTCAATTCTTTTTTTTTTTTTTTGCTGCGCAAGAGCCCTTGATGAAACATTGCCAACAGCACAGTCCTGTGTAGGTTTACTCGGACGGAGACTCCACAGGGCTCAGGGAGACTGGGAAGGTACAAGGTTCAGTATTTCAGCCACAACCAACATGTTGAAATGACTGACTTCTTTAAGGCTGCAATCCTAAACACGCTTGCTAGGGAGAGGATTTCTTTATAATAATAATAATAATGTGCCGTCAAGTCAATTGTGACTTACGGCAGCCCCTTTCCAGGGTTTTCTGGGTAGAGAATACTCAGAAGTAGTTTCCCCTTCCCTTCTCCCAGGGGTGCCCTGTGGGGCTGTGCAGGTCTCCCAAAGCCACCCGGGTTGCCTCCACTCCCGGGGGGGGGCACAGTGCGGGAATCGAATTCCCAACCTCTGGCTCTGCAGCCATAGACCTGAGCCACTGATCCTATATCACTGATCATATCCAAAGAGGGAGGGAGGAAGAGAATGGAGGAGCCCAGTTATTGTTCATACATATACCGGTCTGGAGATTAAGGCTGCAACCCTAAACAGACATCGTTGGAAGTCAGGAGAGTTGGAAGAAAGCGGGATCTATTTTTCTGGAAACATATGCTCGCTTGCACAGATCCTGGCGGTGGGGGGTGGGGAGTTACTTTCTGGGACTACAGTTCTCTAAAACCTCAAGCCACTGTGCCCCCCCCCTCGGAAAGTAGGAAACCGGCCGTTGTCGTTCCAAAAGCCCTGTGCTTGCAGCCCAAAGCAAACTCAGGATGTTTTTGCCTTACAAACTGGATCCAAACATTCTCCTCTCTCCCTTAACAGGTTGCTTAATTGAGCTGCAATTGAGGCAGAATGAATTCCACCCCCCCAACCCACCCCACCCCCTTGGACCTATGCCCCGTGGAGCGTGTAAACGCGAGGAGATGAAACAGTTTTCGTAAAGGGAGTAAAGTTTTGGCAAGCTGGGCTGCACGCAGAAAATGTGAGAAGGGTTGGTGCCTCTTACCCATGGTGGACGTGGGTTAGTTCTTGCTCTGCTCGGACCCTGAAGAATCCTGCTGCCAGGAAGATCCCCGCAAGCAGCCCAAAAGGAGTGCCCCGGAGGGTCTTATATGCCTCCGCTCCAGGGGCGGGGAAGAGGTGTGTTGAGAACACTCTCCAAGCAGGAAGCTGGCCCGAGGACTGACTGACGGTGGGAGGGATCCTGGCACCGAAATCTGGTTGGTTTTCCCTTCTCAGGAGCTAGGCAGGGGAGTGTTGGCTCCTCTGATTTGGATTGCATTTTATCTTCTTCCATCCTGAGAGGGTCAGCCTGTGTCAGCTGCCTCCTCTGGCTTGAGGAGTCCGAGAAGCATCATGCGCTTGTCTTGAGATGGAGCAGAAAGAAAACCATTTGGGTTTTTAAAAACAAACTCTTGGCCCCCAGGGGGTGTTTCAAAATGTGATCCCCTCCAGCTCCCCCCCCCAATAATGGCTCAAACGAGTTTTGTAAGGTTCTGGCATCCACCCAGAGAACAATAAACCTATTTGTTGTTGCAGCACTGAATGATGAAAGTTACGGGGAGAGAGAAAATGCGCAAGGAAGCGAATATTTGGTGCAGCCGTAAAAATAATAACGGGCAGACCCCAGGAATCGACCGTGCAGGAGTGAGGCTAAAGAGTCCCAGCAAAACGGGGAGTATTCCTGCCCTGGAAGAGAGCACCTACTACAGTCACGTAGGGTTGTTAATATATAAGTAAGAGTAAATAACTTTTCTTGAAAGTTATTGCATGGAATTGTGCTTGGTAAAGATATGGTGTGTGTGGCTTCCGTAAGAAGTAACACTGTATTTGGTTACAAACGGCATGGAACCAGGATTTCCTGTGATGCATGTTGGGCATTTTGCTTTCTTTTATAAAAAGCATGATATTGTTTGATTTAACTTTATTGTTCAGTATATGTTGTTTTGCAGCAACAGTATTTTCAACAAGGAGTTTTTCCTACTGTAAGAAAGTCTTGACTATACATCATGGATACAAATGCGTCTTCCTTCTCTGATGTCATTCCCTTTCCTGTCTCCCCTGAATTGCATTGTAGGCTCCTTGGGGCAGGGCCTTGTCTCTTCGACTCTGCCAAGCTCAAACCAGCCATTTGTTCATTTGGAACCCTCCAAACAATGTCAAAGGGAACAGAATTGAGCAATTCTTCGTTTGTTGCGTGACTTCCCAGCTGTTGCAACCCTTGGCCCTAAATCATGGCTGACACTTTAATTTTCTTCTTGTAACTTAGGAATGTCTCTTGGCCCAACCAAAGCGAGGACAGGCATAGGAAGGAACCTAAGTTATTGCTCTTGAGTGAGAGAACAGTGAGAGAAACACTGCCACCCCAAAATAAATACTGTAGATAAAAAACAAGACAAACATAGGATGATTGTCCCAATTCACAGGTTCGCTGCGGTCTTATGATTCTGGACAGTTTGTTTCATGTGAACAGGCCGGCAATTAAACACAAGTAAGATATGTCATGATTAATGCCGATTTATCTCACTCTGCCCTGAAGGGCCAGTGTAACCCTGACAACATAAGACACAAATTATTCTGTTATGGCAAATGTTTCACGAGGACTAGCGAGCCCTCTAGGTCAACTGTGGGGCATCTTATCTTGATGCAGCAGGGAGGTGCATAGCTAGAGATATAGGCCCTTTCATAGCTATGTTATTTTTAAAAAGTACGCTGTGACACCCAAGAACTACAAAAGACTTTAAAATGGTTTCTCCAGTTAACCTCTCCTACGTTAGGTTTGCACAGTTACTTCTGAATTTTCTGTCACCTTTTGGGCACCAAATGTCTTGTGTATTACCTCCCTCTGCTGGATGGAGTTGTTCCTCTGAATTAATGGTTAAAAATCATCCTTTTATTATTATTATTTTAATTGTTAGTTCTGCACATAGTAGCAAGTTAGCATCTTTTGGTGGGGTGGCTCTTCTTTCTTTGTTCCTTTCTTTATCTCACTTTTAAACTGTTGGCTGCTCAGGGTTTCCCGGAGCCTCCTACAATACGAAATACAACAGTAGTATGATAAAACACATGGCTAGAAACAGCAGAAGATAAAACCAAGATAACACCAGCAGCAGAGAACAAAACAATTCAACGGTTTTTATTCATTTGTTTTTGTTGATTCTGGGGAGGCAGATAAGAAAACAGTAAAATGCAGGCTATTACACTGCCTGTTCAAAACTAATTTGCTTGAATGGATTTTTCACCATTCTAGGTATAAAAGCTATCCCAAAGCATTCATTTTGTTCTGTTAGATAATGGCGTGTTAAATTGGGCATTTTTATGCTGCTGGCTATTTGGATTTGCCTTTAAATCATCTTAAATTTGATGACTTCAAAGGCCTTCAGTACTGCTTGTGTATATGCATGATCATGCATGCATTTTAGATAAGGATTGCGTTAAGACTCAATAACTTTCCTTGCCTCACCAAAGCTCAAACCTCTTCTGGAGAAAGGCCGAAGCTGGTCCTGCAGATCATCTTGAATTTTTAGCAGACATGACATTGCCACTGGATACATGCATTTATGCTTTAATATATTTCATGACTGCAGTTTTTAGGATGTGCCCCAGCATAATGCAAACCTGCTCATGTTCAACCAAATTTACTTCCTAGCAATAATGTTTTTTGATAGTGTGTGTGCCCCACTAATTTCAATGTGAGGTGTGTTGTTGGTCTCTGAGCTAGTCCAGACCATGAAGCCAGATCTAATTTTAGTCCCAACTAAATGTAGACCAATTGCAATAAATGGGACTTAATAATAAACAGTAACATAAATCCCATTTATTTCAGTGGTCTTTTCTGAATGGCATGAAAACTGGTTTTAGCCACGGACTGCACTTTCATTTTATCTGAATTTAACATGATATACACGTTATGGAATTTCCTCCATGGGAACTCCACTTTGCTTGCCACTCTGTTGAGATGTTTAGATAGTTCCTAAGTTCTTTTTCATGGCACCAGGATTTTGATTTCATTCCTGTCTCACAATATCTATGGATTTTAATCTTACACATTTTCTGTTAGAGATTCTGAGTGCTTTCGGTTGTTATGCATGGATCAGGATGAAATGCTCTCCTGTGCTTTGATAAATGGTTTTGTTCAATGGTTTTGAATGCTGTGCTCTAGAAAAATCAGAAACAAACTGAAAAGTATTTTGTAACTATTTTGTAAATGTTGTAATTTACAAAATTAGACATTTGCTATTATGGTTCTGATCAACCAAATTAACTCTTAATATCCAGCATTAGCGTTCCCAAGGTTGAAAACTAGCTTTAAACAGATAACTCATGTAGATATAAATTTGGGAAGACTTTTCTGGGCAGATGCAAGGTTTTCATTATAATAAAAAAAATTGTCGGACTGTAGGCACATTCACCCAGAAGTAACTTCCACTGACTTCTATGGATCTTACTCTAATGGAAACAAGCTTGAGATAGCAGCCTTTGTTCTTTACAAAAACAATTTATTTCTCGGATGTGTTTTAACCACTCAAAGCCTTTAGGCTGGGATAACTTACTTTTCTAGTTAAGTATTCAAATTTAGACATTAACTGAATAACTAAACAATTATTAAAACTGGAGGTCTTGCTGGGAATTCTGTGACTGAAATAGCAGATTAATTGTAAAACTCTGTATGATGACTTAATTTTTCTTGTGATTAGTTACTGGAGCAGTTATTGTTATTATATGAGTGTTTTATTTGAATTGGTTTGTAGCTGCCTTCAGTTAAAATAAACTATAGCAATTAATTAAAATTTGAAATGAACTGAGTAGCTAATAATCACAATAATTTAACTGTGTAAATTAACTTTAAAATACTGTTACTCTATATATGTGTGTATGCCAGAAGGCATACATTATATAACTATAGTCCTTTTAATTTTGACACATGGGGTAAGAAATGACATATACACTAAGTGGGTGGGCATGACCTCCAAATTTCCCTTTATACCGTGTTCTAATTCTCATCTGTGTTAAAGTCACAATTTTCCACTAACCATTTTTGGTAGAAAACTACAAATATATTTTGTGATAACTATGTTAGAATTATGTTGGGAATTAAATTAAAAAATAAAACTGAATTTAAACTTGATAAATGTTCTTCCCTGAATGTGCATTTGTTGATCTTGCAGAATTTGCTTCTTGCATCGGAAACAAATCACCTCAGTCCCATTCATGGTAGAAAGACAACATAAATGATCCAGGTATGTGATCCAGAATTTTGAAACCCCTGGTTTATGCTGTTATCCAAGGGAGTTTATTATCCATTTTGTGGCTTAATTAACAAAAAGCCTTACGCTCTTCTGCTACTAAATTAGAACGGTGTCTCCGGTCATTGACTTGTTTGTTGTGTTCTGCTTCTTGTGAAGAACACCTGGGGAATTATAGGCAAGTCCCCCGCAAACTGCCAGCCATGGCGATCAAGGGCAAGGAGGCCCCGTTGCTGCGTAAAGCGACCGACCAGCTTTGGGATTTGGTGAAGGTCAGCAAAGGGTTCAGCTGCCTTGCAAACGGGTGGTTATGAGCCACTTTTGAAGGCCTCAACCCCGGGTGCAAAAGGGACAAATGCCTTTATGAAACGGATGCGGATGTTCCACCAAACCACCAGTCACAAAAGTAACCTCACCCACCACACCCATTTAAAACAGCAGGCGCTCTGGCTACCTCCATGGATTGGGCTGCCAAAAGATGCTTTTATAGGCAAGGCCCAGATATTTACAGTCCCACCGGGGGGGGTGGGGGGTGGGTGCATTGGATTCGAACACTTTGCTTTGGACCCTAGCTGCTGTTCCACGTTGGGTGGCCAGCCTTTGGAGCTTCTCTTTCTTGAAATGCCATAGGGTGGCAGAGTCAGACCCTGAGAGCTAAAATGTGGAAAGGAAAGCCCCCCCCCCACACACCCTGTATGTTAGGAGGGTGGCCCTGGCCCTACAGGAGCCATTCCTGGTTAGCCAGCAACAGCCAGCCTTGAACTCACTCCCCCCGCCCGCCCCTTGTGCCATTTTATGAATAGGACAGATAGATTAATGGAAATAAATGAAATGATACATAAATAAATGAGATATCTATCAACTGGCTGAGGCTCAAAAGGGGTTGGGGGAGGGGAGGACCCCCATTTCCCCCCAATCTTGGAAGCCACCAATTGGGGGGTAGAGGGGAAGGCCGCCCCCCCTCACTGCTTCTCTCTTCCCTCCACCCCCCCCCAAATAACGTCTGCCTCAGACAAACTTCACCAACGTTGGGTTAGGGTGTGCCGGCCCGCCTGTGACGTCACGCCCGCCAGGCCAATCCGGCGCCGGGCTGGCGGGACGGAGGAAATGACATCGCCGTATCCCTCCGCCGGCCAGGACCCCTTTTTTTGTGTATGTGTGTGGTGGGGGCTTGGCTTTCCGTGTGTGTATATTTCGAGGCCGCCCCCTACCACATTTTAAAAAAATAATAATTAATGAGCGTAATTAATAACCGCGGCCATCCTACCATCCTGAGAGAGGAGGGAGCGAGGGGAGGCTGAGGCGCGCCGCCCTGCTCTGAGGTGCCGCCGCCGCCGCCGC